ACCTCCCAAACCCCTCCTCACCGGGGGCGGGGGGCATTCACGGGGCTGAGGAGGCTCTACCACGTGCCCGCTCCGCGCTCCCGCCTTCCCCACGTGCCTCCTTCAAAGCCAAGCTCTGCCCGGCACTGCTGACAGCGGATTAGGGCCTTCGGTGGTGGGGTCGCTCCCCAGGGGAATGGGCTACGTTGATATGTGCCCAAGAACCCTGCTCCCCACTCTCCCCCTACTTCCTCCCCACCCTGGTCGCTGATAACCAGGATTTCAGCTAGGAGTTGAGAGTAGTTGCAAAGGGCAAAGACCCAGCCCTGTACCCTACCCCACCCTTCCCCCAAACCTGTTGCCCCAGCAGCTGCCCAAAGAGCTTGACTCTGGAAAAGGGAGGGAGACCATAGAGCAGAGAATCCTAATTATGGCTCTGTGGGTTGCCTCATAGAGTTCTGGTTGTGCCTGACCTGCCTACCCCTGGAGCTGAAGGGAATAGGGGGAGAGAGAGTTGTTAATGGTGATGCTGGCTGGGCTGAGGCAGAAAGGGCAACTGGAGACACCTCTCCTTGTTCTGGTGAATTTGGGAACAGAATTATACATATTTGTGACTCTTTCTCCCTCTGTAGTCCAGGGCTCAAGGTTTGTGGGGTAATAGGTCTTTTGGAGGTCAAGCCAGGCCTTGGCCTCCTTTCCTGCTTGAAGCCCACTCCCAGCAACCTCTCCAGAAGAGGCAGAAGCCTTCAGAGAGATTAAGGCAAACTTGGAAGGTAAACGAGCATATCAAACCATGGAGAGAGGGAAATCACCTTTAATAAAGTTGGAGCTTCTCCAAAGCTGAGGTGTGGGTAGGAACTGGGCATCCAGAGGGAGAAGATACTGGCCTAACCCTCCGCCCCCAAACATCATCCACTTCCCAGTGAAGAGAAGTAGACACTCCTTTGGGGCTTTGAGGTAGGTCATGCATGCATGCTGGGGGAGAGGGGATGCCTCCTCAGAGCCCCCAGGGCCCTGGGGATACATGGTTCAGGACTCGGGGGTAAGGGGCCGGTGTGCAAACAGTCCTGAAGTCTCTTGTCTAGCTTCTGCCTGCTGCCAGAAAGAGGAGAAGGTTACTAGGACCTCTGCTTCTGGGTTTTTGAGATGTAGTTCCCTACATTTAACTATACTCACTGTGCCACAGCCTCCCCTGCTCTGGGAACTTCTGTGGCTCCTTTGGCCTGTCCCATCAGGACCACATTTTCCCCCTGGCATTCAAGGTCTGTCTGGGTGATTCCAGCCTTATGGCCACCATTACACTCCTATGTTACACATAAGCCTATCGTCATCCCGCCTCATACCTTTGCTGTTCTCCTCACCTGGAGGTCGTCCCCTTTCCTACTCTACTTTCAAAGCTCAGCACACTTCACTGCTCCTCCTCCTCCAGGACAACCCTTGCACATACTGCTTCTTGTCTTGAAATTCCACCAACAAAAACTGTCAGTCCCATTTCTGAGCTCTTTAGCACACCCTACATCTCTAAAAGTTTCATTTATTCAACAAACACTCATAAAGCAGAAATAGTGACTTCTCCCTAACTTTTGTCATTCCCTTTACCAATTTTCACAAACTGGTCTGACAGTACTGAACTTGCCACTTTTCTCCAAAACAGAGTGTTTCTTTCCTGCTTCCATGCCTTTTCTCATGCTGTTACCTCTGTATTGATGTCTTTACTTATCTTTTCAGGTTGGAAAACTAGTTGCCTTGATGACCCACATCAAATGTCCCTTCCAGTTCAATTCCCTGATCTCTCCAAGCTGGGTCAAATGCTTTTTCTTGTACTTTTATAGCCCCTGAGCTTCCTGCCATCATGGCACTGACCACACAAGGTGTGACTACCAGGTGCATGTCAGTTTCTCACACTAGAGAGTGAGTTCTGTGAGGGCATGATCCAGATGGGACCAACAACTGAGCAGGTGGTCAGTACTGCCTATTGAAAAAATGGGTCCTAGTCTGGGCACTGCTCATTGCCAGCTGGTGGACTAGGCAGGTCCCCTTTGGGCCTCAGTACCCTACTCTCAAATCAAATGCCTATGCCCCAGAACCAAGCCAGGTAGGTGTGGAAAGTCCTGCCTATGGGAAGGCCCACCTGAAGTGCACATAGCAGAAGAAGCCTACAGTCTGAACGAGGAGGACGAACAGGAAGATGTAGGGCTGCAGGCATGAGGAGGTCCCTGGGGGCTGGCCAGGTGGGCGGGGGTCCTTGGTTGATGCTTTCTGAAAGGGGAAGTTCTCAGGTCTTGGATTAGCTTCTTACCCAGGAGAGGGTGGACCTGGAACCTGAGCCGTTGTGGGCTCTGTTTCCCTCTCCCAGGCTTGGTTCTCGTTCAGAGGACTTGGAGAGGGGGCAGAGTGCAAAGCTGCCTCCCCCACTTTAGTTACCACGGCTCCATCTGTGGGAATAGTTGGGAAGGCCTAGGGCCTGGGATTATCAGGGAGCTGAAGGTTTTTGAGATGAGAGAGGAAGAAATAGCAAAAGACAGATAATGATGAAGGCAAAGGAAAGAACAAGATGGGGCATGCATACAGTGAGGAGCAGGCTGCTCTGAGTGATTTTGGGCATAGCCAACTCCCATTTCTCTTCTAGTTATTGAAGGAGTTGGACCAAGTGGTCTCCAGGGCCCTGCTGGCACTGAGAGTCTGTAGGACTCTCCAGAGAGCAGAGAGGGGAGAGAGAAGGTAAGATCTGTGTCCCAGCATACACATGTGCATGCACACACAGATACAATTACAGGTGTGCCTGCCAGGGTTCCCAAGAAGGAAGGGCTAAGGCAGGAAGGCCTGGGGCTGCAGAAATGTTAGAAGAAAGGGACTGAGCCTAGATCTCAGGAATGGAACTTCATGGTGTCCCTTCCTTTCTTCCTACCACTGGGCCCAGAAGGTCCTCTTGCAGGAGGCTCAGAATCTGGTCCAGCTCTAAGAAATGATGCTTGATGCCCACAGGCAGGTAGAAGACCTTGGCTCTTGAGGCCATGTGAGTAGCTGCATCCCTGGTGGGAATGAAAAACAAGAGAGAAGACTCGTTACCCCTTCTGGACGCATCCAAACCACCGAACTATTTCTCATAATCCCTGCAGGTAACACATGGATGGGGAACAAGCACCATCCATAGGGCCCCTTCTTGGGAGGCTGTTCTTACCCCAAATCTTCTTCTTTGATCTCAAGACAGCTTTAGCTCAGAGAAGGATGTCTCTAAAGCTGTCTGTCTCAACCCCATGCTCCCTGGACTCTTCTTGCTATCTCCAGCCCCCAGGAGACTTAGCTCTTCTCTCTTGTCACATCTTCCCACCCCTAGCCATCTAGATGGGGGGTGAGGCAGGGGTCAGGTGGAAGCCACAGCATCCAGCCTGAAGCCTCCCTCTTCCCCAGCATCAAGGTGACCCCCTTACTCCCATACTCTATGGGTTGCTCCAAGTCCTAGCCTAGAGTGGGATACTGGGAAACTGGAGGGGTCAAAATGAAGTCAGGGACCCCCTACTACCAGTAGGCCTGATCTTCGCTGTATTCCTTTCAAGGCTCAGATTTACTAACCCTCCCTGGGATGGGAATGTTGGGTGGGGGCCCTCATGCAAGGCCTCTCCCAGTGAGAGTTGTTTTGAAAAGAGGGCTTTCAAAACTTTAAACTTGATTCAGTTAAATTTAGGTCAACTCAATAAACCTAACTCTGCCCCCAGCCCCTCCCTACATACCAGGCTTTGGGCTGGGTGTTCAGGAAAGGATGAAAAGACTCAAGGGCTAAGGGAGGAACTTCAGGTGGAAAAGCAAGTTGGTGGGGTGGGGGTCCTCTCCCACCTCCTCAACGATCCCTCCTCACCCTGTGCCCTTACCTCATCTCTTGCAAGTCCTGGAGCAAAGTCTGCTGTCCACAAAGCAGAGTGCTGACCTTGGCAGAGTCCTGCAGGAAAATCAGCCTCTTCTTTAGGGCCTAGGCACAGCCCCTCTCTTCTCAGAGTCCACCTTCCCCAGGGCACTGCAGCCCTCTTCCTTCTAGAGGCCTTATCAGATTACCTGGCCCTCCTCATTATGGACACATTGAGTTCATCTGCCCCCTGTCTATCTTGGCTTCTGGATTCCCCTCCTCTCAAAGCCCTCTCCCTGAGGGTGGTTCCCCCCCAAGAGTGGCCACTCATGGGCTTTCTCAGAAGCCTCCCCACCTACTTTCCAGAAGTGGATCTGCCCCTGAAGAAGGCAGAGGCCTAGTCCAGTATTCTCCCCATTTCTCCCAGGGCATAGTCCAAGCTGTAGCTGGTCAACTCCATGTGCTAGGGCTCCTGCATGAGCCCGTCTTACTGAGTGACCTGGAGAGGTGGCCATTCCTCTCTGGGGTGGATAGAATCTGGCAGAAGGAGTCCTGGGCCTGAAAGTAGGATCAGAGAGGCCTAGCTCTTGAGTGTGACACCCTCGCTTCTTCCTCACTCCAGCAGCCCAGCCTTAGCTACTCTAGCCTGGGGACACAAGATATCAAACCTCAAGCTTCCAGAGCCCAGCAAAGCATACAGGAGCTGCTGGCCTCTTCTGCCCAGCATCTAACATCTTGACTCAGTTCAAGTCAGGCTCCAGGCTGGGCATGCCATGGGGCATGACTCTCCGGGGAGAAGCCAGGATGGCAGTAGAGATGAAATGAGGATTCTGGTGCATCTGAGCATTAAGCAAGCCGTATGTGAATCAAGTCACATGTGGAGCTACATGCACCCAGTCTATTTTTGTCACTTGTCTACAGACCCACGTCCAAATACCTGGCATCTCTTCTCCCCAGCCCCAGCTGTGTGGCTTCTTGGGCATTTGCTTGTGCAGAGCTATCCTCCTGCACACTCCCCTGCCTGGCAGGTCACCCCATCCTGCGACCTGCAGTATTTCACCCCTGTCCTCCTTTCCCTCCAGACCTTGGGGGACACTAGTTTCCAAATATAGCAATGTTCCTCTTTCTGGACACAGGGAGCCCACTGGTGCCATGAGACTCAGTATCTAGGATGCTCAGCTTCTCCAGGCCACCATGGATGTTCAAGGGGCTACTCACCCAGGCTCCCTCTGGCCTGGTCTGGTCCGGGGACCCCAATTGCTTCTTCCACTGCCTCTCAGCCTGGGCTAGCTGCTTGGAGAGACCCTGGAGAGCCTGCAGGATCTGGCTGTGTCTGCCCAGTATCTCCTCCAGGTAATAGATCCTTTCCCCTGGAGATTGGGGCAGAGCTGGGACAACCAGCCAGCTGGGGTGGGGCAACAGACACTATCTATTGGTGGCTTCTTAGAAAGGGGGCCCAGAAAAGTGTGGCTTCTGCCTCTAAGACTCTCCCCTGGAAAGTTGTATCTGGGTGGGGTGTGGGGACAGTACAAAGCACCTGACCCCAAGGCTTGCTTAGATATGGCTTCCACCTCCCCTTTGGTTAAAGGACTCTTGATTCGTAGGGAAGAGGATCCTGTGATACTCAAATGGGCTCCTACCCCACCTGCCTACTCCTTGGACCCCTACCCTCTTCCTGGTCTTTGGAGCTCAGCTTTAGAATCGTGTCCTCCCTGATGCCCAGAGCCAGCCTTGCCCGCAGCTCTTTCAGCTGTCTTGCCAGGCGGAGCTGCTCCATCTCCAGGAAGGGCTGCAGTGGGTGCTGGAGGAGAAAGACAGGAACTAGGGCCTGAAACCTGTGCAAGATCCAGGGACAAGGAAAGCCTTCCCACAGGGCTCCCACAAGCCCAGTCCCCTTCCTTGACCAAACATTCACCCAGCAAGGAAAGAACTCTGATTCTCCTTCAGCTCACCCACCAGGACCTGCAATTTCTGGGCCTCTGTGCCTTGCTCCACTGCCAATCTCCACACCCTTCTCTCCCACTGCAGCCCAGACACCAATAGCTCTCTCAGGCCTCAGGCCTCTGTCCTCACTGCTCCTCCATTCAGCTAACTGCCTCTGTTCCTTCAAGCTCATCTCTTCCAGGCAGCCTTCCCTGCTCCTCTGGTTAGTTAAGACCCCTTGTCTGTGCTCCCCAGCCTCCAGCCAGCCTGGGAGGTCCTTGAGGACAGGGCTTAGTTCTGGGTCACTTCTGCTCCCAGCACAAGGCCTGGTCTGAGGAGAGCCCAGAGAACAAGTAGAGATAACCGTTGGAATGGCAGGTCTGATGGTGCCATGACATAAGTAGAAACATCTGGGGAGGGGAGGGGTCCCTGGGCTGGTCCCTCTCCCCAAGCCCTCCCCGCAAGGCAGGCCCAGGGCTGGTATCACCTCTGGACCTGGCTCACTCAGACTGAAGGTTAGGAAGGACAAGACATCATGGTCATCTGGAAAGGAAGGTAGAGAAGGGAAGGTAAGACCTCTAGCCTCCAGTAGCCCACTCATTCAGCCCTCAATCCTCAGGCTCCATTATATTCCAGGCAGGCAAGAGATATGAATGACCCTGGGCAGCTCCGATCCTTGACTGGCTTACCTCATAGATGAGGTATGAGAGTCAGCCAAACAGATGGGTGGGCTGTGTGAGTTGACTGTCCCCCCTTCCAGCCAGAGGTGGGCCCCCAGTGAGTAGGAAAATTGGATAGTCCTGGGCTAGAGCCATGAAAGCAGGCTGGGCAACACCCTCGGGCCTCCAGGGAATGGCTGCTACTGGCAAAAGTGACCACATGGTGGCACCTTCTCAGTATGGCTCTCTGACCATGTCACTCTCCTTCTCAGAAACCTTCCATGGTCTACGTCCATGCTACCCTGAACAAGCCTGATCCCATCTGATCTTGGAAGCTAAGCAGGGTTGGGCCTGTTTAGTACTTGGATAGGAGACCACCTAGGAAGACTAGGTGCTGTAGGTGTAAAAAATAAATATAAATAAAAATAAATAAGGGATTGTAAGCTGACAAGATCCTTGCAATCTGTGAGGTCAACCAAGGGTTTCCTTGCCTAAAAAAAAAAAATAAAAGAAAATAAGAGAGAAACCTTCCATGGCTCCCCAGTGCCCAGACTCTAAAGACCAAAGTTTTGGCATTCATGGACACTCACTAGCTGATTATACCTTACTTTTCAACTATGGGTCCCTCCATGGACTCCATTTTATCCTTTGACCCATCTCCCTAAGTGTGTCCTTTTTCCACTTTCCCCAGAGCTCCCAGCTAGGGGCCCTTATGAGGCCAACACTAGAATAAAAGTTTCTCATGTTTTATTCTATCTGAGACTTCCAGGAACTCTGTGAGGCAGATAGGAGAGGACTCATGACTTGCCCAGGTCACACGGTAAAGATGTAGCTGGCCCCACACCCCGTGTTCCTTAGAAGGTGTGCTCAGGATGATTCATTAGGCACCATTCCTCTGCTCTTACCTGCCCAGAAGGCCCTCACCTGCCCAGAAGGTACTGGTGGCTGCTGAGACCCCAAAGAAACCTCCAGGGGCCAAAAGCAGGGGCCCCACATCAACGCAAACTTCATCTGGATCGCTGGGAGTGAGGCCACTGTTTAAGGACACCTGAAGGCAGGGAGGAATTGAGCCACCGCCTCTCCCCTGCCCCAGCAGGGGTGATTGTCCCCACCTCTGGCTCCCTGGCTCCCCTATCCCTAAAGGTGGGCAGGGAGCCACAAGGTTTAGTGTCAGAATGTTATGAAGGGGTTTGTACACTTTGTCTCATGCTAGCCCTCACATGTATGTTTTCTGGGCTAGTTAGGATTCAATGTAGGAAGGAGGATCCAGTGTATGCCTTCCCCATATATGCCAGGTGTCACAGGCACGAATCTGTTGGGGTCATGGGCAACAGAGCACACAGCATCTCTGTAGCTCTGAGCCCTGCAATCTGCACACCCTGCCCAGAGGACCGACATAAGCAGGAGGGACCACTCACACGCAGCCTCTGCCCCCAGTAGGTGATCTGCACTCTGAAGGGATATGGCCGGTTCCGGAAGTCCCGGTAGCAAGAGCCCAGCACCTGGCTGGCTTCATCCCTGTGGGCATTTGGAATACATCTGGGCTATGCAGGACCCAGGGCCTGGCCAGGGGGGCAGTCCCAGAGGCCATTCTGCCCAGACGAGCAGCGCCACATCCCCCAACTGGACGACTGCTGTGGGACATGTCCCTGTGATCGAGCTTGAGTCTCCTTGCTACGGTCTGCTCCCTTCGCAAAAGAGAGGGGCAAGAGAACAAGCCCTACCTGGCAGAGTATGGGGACTTGGAGTTTCCAGAAGAGGCCAAGGGCCTTTCTGTAACTCTTCCCCAGGGGACAGAGCCTGGACCCTCAATGGGCTTCCAGTCTTCAATCCCCTAAGCCCACCACCTCCTCCCACTCGTCCCTCCCTCCTTCTCCTCTCTTTAAACTCCAAATTTCCCTGTGCCTCTGGGTAAGTCCCCTTTTTCCTGTCCCTCTGCTGAGCTTAGACTGTAGAACAAACAATACGAGATGCGTCTTAGTGGCCTAGGACAAAATCACCAGCCCGCCTGACCTGTAGGGCGGTATAGCAGGCTCTGGGGAGTTAGGAGGAGGGTGTTGAGCCCGAGACGCCTGGAGTTTCTCTGTGCATACTGACACACAGACGCTGATCACACCAGAGTGCCTGTCACTGCCATCTTCAGCCCCAAGTGAGATGGCGCAGAGCAGGGAGAAGCCAGCTCTAGAGCAGCTACCTGCGTGTACCTCATAGCTGTGACCTTGGCAAGTAATCTCAGCTTTCCAAACTCCCACTTCCCCATCTTTAAAATGAGGATAATAATTGAAACTATCTCATAACATTGTCATAAGGGTTAACCAAGACATGAATGTAAAGTACTTGGCGCTGCGCCTGGCATACAGTAAGCTCCACTCCATAAATGTTAGCAATTATTCTCATTGTTATAAGCTAAGGGATGTTTGCTGAGAGACACTGACAAACTGGCCCAGCTACTGAAGAGGCAGCCAGGTTGGGGAGGGAGGGGAAGCCACATCATCCGGGAGAAAGGGAAAGTCACTAGCAGTCAGGCAGCTGGCACAGGGAAAGGGTGTGGACCCTCCACAGGCAAGGCTGACCTCAAATCTCAGCTCTGTAAGAGCTGTGTAACTTTAGGCAAGTAACTTCACCTCTCTGGGCCTCAGCGTCTTCACCTTAATTAGAGACTAATAACTTTCACTTCTCAAGAGTGTTGGGGGGTCACATAAAATGATGTGAGTAAAAACATTCAGCATAGGCCTCACCTGCTGCTCTTGGGTTGGATGAATGGAGGACTCAGTGGGGAGGTTCCCAGGAAAAGTAAGCAACTCTGGTCCTGGGCCCAGAGGAGGCACAGCTGGGACTGAATGGGGAGGAGTCCCAGGGTAGCAGCCATTGGCTCAATTGAGCAAGGCTCAATTGAGGGCACAGCTCTATCTAGGAGGGTTGGGCTCCCTGTCAGAGGCTGGGGCAGGGGCATGAGTAGGCAGTGTGGGTACAGCCCAGGAATTGGGGTAGGGGGTCAGTTCAAGCAGGCCCTTACCGAAGCAGCTCGTAGGGGATATGCCCGTTACTGGCCAGCACACGGATGGCAGGGCTGTTCTACATGGGAGGTAATGAGAGGCCTGAGCCATGGGCACGAGGAGAAGGGTGAGGGTGTGGGCAGGGAGGAGGGTGAGGATGTAGGCAGGAGACCACTACTCACCTCAGTATCTTGGGCCGAGGAGTCGAAGAGGATCCCGATGCCGTCCCTCGAGGCCAGCCCCCCCAGGACAGAGCCGATTTGGCCTCTGCTCTGGGTGTACCACACAGCCTGTAGGTCCCAGTTACTCAACTCCCCTGTGGGACACTGGAACCCTGGGCTCACCACCTGACCCCTGACTCACCCCCTCAGCTGGGACTTGGGAGAGGCCACTCACCATGCCCTGGGCTCCCCGGCGCCCTGGCCCAGTCACCCGCATCTGCAGCTCCACCTCCCAGCCAGAGAAGAGAACGCGGGCCCTGCTCCACATGGCACCACTTCTGTTCCGCATGGAAGGGGCCAGCCGCACTTCTTCCAGGCCCAGGATGGCATCTGCGGACCAGGGCAGCTCAGGGCCTGGGTTCCACTTTCCCCTTCTCCCCATTATTCTCTCTTATTGGCCTGGCTGGGCTCTGTGAGGAGGAAGCAGGTAACATCAGGCCTGCCATTAAGTACCAGGCCAGCTGGTCAGATGCAGGAATCCACTGAAGAAGTGGGCATTGGAGCCTAGCACAACTGGGGGGAGGGGGTTTGCCAGGGGAAGGTAACGGATGCCAGACCCATGCAAGAGCAAGGTGCCTGCATTCTCACTTGAGCCTCACCACAAGTCTGTATGGTCTGTTTTCATCAGACCCCATCTTACAGATGAGAAAACGGAGGCTCAGAAAAGTTAAGGACCTAAATGGATTGGAACTCAGCTCCGTCTAACTCCAAAGTACAAGCTTCTTCCACCAGGAGAGAGCTTTGTGTCCAACATTTTCTGTTTTTCAGATGAGGAAACTGAGGCCCTATGAGGGAAAAGAACATGCCTGAGACCATAGAATACAGGAGAGCACTTTGAGAGAATAACCAGGTGGAGGGTCCAGTGTGCCCAAATGAGGCTGGGGGCTTCCTGGTCAGGGAACTCAGGGGCACTCCAAGGTGAGCAAAGCATGAAAGCAAAAGTGGAACTAACCTGCAGGACTGGGAGGAAAGGGTGAAGGAGAGAGACAGACAGACAGACAGACAGACAGACAGACTGTGTGTGCGTGTGTGTGTGTGTATGTGCATGCACACGTGTAAATTATCACTGGTGAAGGTGGTGGGGACAAAGGAGCTCTATTTTGTAGGAGAGAGAAAAATGGAGAGAAACTGAGGCAAGCTTGGCAGGAACCAGGAGAAGGGAGATCAGAGACCCCACCCCAGCTGGCTCCATCCTGCCAGCCTGGAACCTGGCCCAGGGCCCAGTCCCTAGTCTCTGCCAGGAGTTTCTGTAGACTGCTATTCCAGCCTGTTTGCTCAGCAAAGGCCAGGGCTGGGGGGTGGCCAGGCTCAGAGGCTGCAAGGCCAGGAGTCCTGGGGGCCCTTGAAAGTCACCACTGCCTCCAAAGCGACTTGCAGGAGGCAACGATTGCCCACTATCTATTACAGTTATGCCTTCAGCCTTATGTGGATTGTTCATGGGACCTTGCCGCAGACAGTGGGCTCCTTGAGCCTGACTCAGCCCTGCGTCTCTAGGCTGGGCATAGAGGGGAGTGGGGGAGGGAGTCCGATAAAAACATAAATGAATAAATGAATAGACAATGAGCATATCACTGGATGATCTTGAGAATATGCCTCTGATCTCCCACATGGTCTGTGACACCCCAGACTTGGTAAGGCCCAGAGCAGTGAGTGTGGTACAGGCCCTGCCATTCCAGCCCTGAGGCAGAGCCTGGGTTGGCGTTATGATAAACAGCCCCTCCTTTGTTTACTTCCTGTGCCTCTGTGAGGAGGACTAGGCCAAGACCCTGTTATAGGGCCTATCATCTTAAATAGATATTTGTTCTGGTCTTAGTCAAGAATAGCACCGTTTCTCAGAACTTACTTCTCACAGACACAGAAATACACAATAGATCTGCTTTCTCTCTTTGCTTTGCTGCTAGGAGGCTCTGAACCAGATCTATTGCCCAACTCTGAAGGGTGAGCGGACCTCACAGCATGTGTTTTGGCAACAAGCTAAATTCCTGGACTCATTTCATGCCAGGACCCCAACCCTAAGCCTCATTCTTCTTGCTTACTCCTAATTTGAGCTCTTCTCTTTTGCATAAGTCCTTGTAAGTCCTCAGATATCCTTTTTGAACAAGATTAGGTAGAATACAGACTCTTTGTAGGTTTGGGTTTGGAAGACCCTGAACACAGACCTGTGGGCCAAGACATTCTCATGCCTGCTTCTACCCAGCACACATACAGAGCAGGGTTGGTGCCTCTCTGGCAGAACAGTCAGCTATAAGGGTGCCCTATCCAGGCAGCCCCCACCCCACCCCCATAACCTCGTTCTCATGGACAGCCACAGGCCTGACAGCATGGAGTCAGCAGAGTAACTGGTCTAAATTGGCTTGTGTCTCTGTGTCTGGGATTCAGCATGTGAGCCTGTGTGCGTGTGTTGACGGGTCCAAGAGGCAGGGTCCTCCAAGGAAAGGAAGAGGAGTAGAAGAGAGAAGCCATAGAGCAGAGAAAGAAAGAGGTAGAGAGAAGAAACTGAGGCTGGTGGATGGGGGTAGGGTGTGGTGGGTGGAACAGGAGACAAGCCTGGGAGGGGTCCGGGGCCCCAGGCACTGCCTGCCCCAGACCTGGACCCATCTTGGGCAGAGGTTGGTACTGGCAGGCCTATTCCCCACCAAGTCACAGCCCCCCTGAGTGATCAGCTGCTCTGGCATTCTGAGGAACCCCAGGAATGGTTGGTCCCCACCCTACCCCTCACCTCCATGAAGACTCCAGAAGGGTATTTCAGCCCCAGGCAATTCCAACCTTGGTCCTTTGAAGCTGAGCTTGTACTCAAACCTTCGCTGAGGAGGATGGCACCCCTCAAGGCTGTGGGGGGCCAAGAGCAGGAGGAGGAGAAGGTAGAGAAAGGGATCAGGACGACTGACCACCAGCATTGTGAAAAGATCTGGCATCTGGGCCCTGGGTGGATCCCTAGCTGGGAGGCCGGGGAAGGGCTCTGGGAACAGACCAGGTGGGGAGGAGCTGGGACTGGCTAGGCGCTGGCTTTTGGCACTGCCAGCCTCTCTCCCTCCCTGCACAGACATCCTGTTCCTTCTAGGCCTGACCTCAGGCCCCATCCCTCCCTTACCTCCAGCCTGACAGAGCCCAATCTCTGACCCCTGACCCTTGGCCAAACTGAACTCTGCCCCTGCTCCTTGGTTCTGGACATCTTTCTATCTTCCTTCAGCTCCAGCAGCTCAGGGGCCTCAGGGATCACAGGGATGGACCCACCTTTCAGTAACTCTGGTCTCTCCTGTTGGCTCAGGACAGGCCTTCACATCCTGCCTCTGTCCTGCAGATGGATGTCCTGACAGTCTGGCCATCATCCACCCCATGCTTCCCTGTGCTGCTCTTTCCACTATAATAATGCTGAGCTCTCTCCCATGTTCCTGAAGGCTCATGCCTCCGAGCAGCCTGCTTTCCTCAACAAATAAACTATATGAAAAACAGAAAGAGACAAAGCAAACAAATGCAGTGTGTGAACCTCGTTTGGAGCCTAATTTTAAGCAACCAATGGGGAGGAAGAAATGAGACAATTGGGGAAATTTGAACAATAGACATTTGATTAAATTAAGAAATATTGTTAAAATTTTTAGGAGTAATAACGGTATTATGTTATGTTTTCAACAAGTCTTTTGTCTTTTGGAGAAACATACTAAAGCTTTCTGGAGGAATCGCTATAATGTATGGAATCTGCTTCCAAATATCCTAGAGCATGGGGGGCATGGCTGGTACAGCACTGGCCTTGCGTTGAAACTTTTCCAGTTGGATGGTGGAAACACGTGGGTTCCTTATAGTCTCCTCTCTACTTTCATATGTTTGATAACTCCCATAAGGAGCACATTTTTAAAAAGTAATATATTTTGAGTCTTTTTATCCAAATAAATGTTGGTTTTAGAGTGGTCAACTTGCCAAGAATTCTGGATAGCTGAAGTTTACTATACTTCGTAAGTTCCCAGTAGGATTTAGTTACCGAAGCTCTGCAAATTAATTAAAATCAAGGCTGTAAATGGAAAATTTTAGCACATGCTAAAAGGAAAGCTTCGTTTCTCAATACTAAACCCTCAGCCAGCTCCACCCGCTTTCTCCTGAACCATCACAGCCAAGCTGTGGAAATGTGGGCCCCCTGAGGCCCTGCTTCTTCACCTACCCCTTGATCTTTCCCGCTGCTGCCCCTGACGCTGGGTGAAAACTGCTCCAGCAAGGACTGACAATGATCCTTGTTTTCTGTGCCTTGTAGACACTTGTTAACTCAGTCTCTGCAACATGAAATGCTATGGACACCCATCCTCTGCCCCATGCTCTGAGACACCCCCACCCCAGTGCTCACCTGCCTCTGTTTGCCCCGGGCTGCTCCTTTGCCACTGCTCTCCCTTTGCAGCCCTCACACTGGGGCTCCTTACAGCTGCATCTCTCCTCATTCACCACACGCTCCCTGGCCAAGGTCCTCCACACCCATGGCTTCAAGACACCTGCTGTGCCCATGATCCTCAAATCTCTACTTTCAGCCTGTCTTCTCTCTGGAGTTGCAGGCCCGAATGAATGTCCAACTCTGCAGGGGACAGCTCTGCTTGGATGTCACATAGGCCCCCAGATGACATGTCCAAACCAAACTCCTCTTCTCCAGCTCCAAGCCATCCTCTTCCAGGGCTGGGGTCTCATGGATGGCACCCCACCTTATCAAGCCAGAGACTGGAATCCCCCAGATCCCTTCTGTCTCATCCTCTCATCAGCCATCAGCAAGCTCTTCAGTCTGCTCTTGCCCTCTCATATGGCAGTACCTGATTCTCTCCAAGCCTCAGTTTCCTTACCTGTAAAATGGAGATAATAATAGTGTATATCTCCAAGAGTGGTTTGGAGGGTTACATGAGGTAATATACCCATTGTGCTTAAAACAGGGCCTGGCAGACAGTGAGCGCTCAGCTTAGTAAAACATCAGCTGTATTAATCTTACTCTTCACTCCTACCGGCTTCACCAGCTCAGGCCAACATTAATCCCCTGCCTGGCTGACTGCAAGCCCCCTGCCCCTTGTTGTCCAGTCTCTACTTGGGACACCCCCCTTGCCCTCCAAGCCAGATTCTTCTCAGAAGGGTCTTTCTAAAATGCAGATCTGACCATTTCACTCCTCTGTCTTAAAACCTTCAATTGCTCCTTGTCATCTTTGCATAAAATTAAACTCTTTGTGGGGCCTGCAAAGCCACATGGGTCGGGCCTTGCTTTCTCTTCAGCCTTACTTGCTCTCAAACCACACCCCTGGCACCTTCGCCCCAGCCACACTTAAACACCTCACCATCTTTGCAGGCAGTGCCTTTCCTTTGCCAGAGCACCCTTGCTTTCTGTCCCTGCCTGTCCTATACGTGTCTGAGAAGCTGCACCCCTCCCCACCTCCTCTATCTCATGGGCTTGGTGTGGGTGGTGGGGGATGCCCACCAGATTCTGGGCATCAAGTGGAGTCCTGAGTGGGATCATCAGTCTGTGAGCTCCTTGAGGGTGAGAACTATGTCCTGCTCATCTCTGATGAGTCAGTGGCCAGTACAGAGCAGAAGGGAAGAATGAAAGAAAAGAAAGAGGGGAAAGTGAAAAAAACTGTAAACCAGGTTAGAGAAACGGGGAGTAATGAAAAAGCTCCCATACCACCAGGTGGAAAGAATAGGAACATCTGGGCTACTTGGGCCTGCATTCCCACAGGGCCCCATCAGCTGGACCGTGTCCCTTACTCTTGCTTGTCACACCTGGTCCAATTGTTACGGTGTCTGCCTGGCCCCTCCCTGACCCATAGCCACCAGCACCATTGCCTGTTTCTGGACTGAGCTAGCTTGGAACAGCTAGTGAGAGTCCATTGTCAAAGTCCCTCCAACCTCTGCCTTCGGTAAAGCGAAATGAGGAGTAGACCACTGTACCAGCAACTATAAATCAGAGCTCCCCACCCATTGCTGCCCCAGCTGACTGTGAACTGTGAAACGTTCACCAGGCACCACTGCGTGACTCCCTCTTCCATCGCAGGCCCATTCTCACTCACCCCTTTACTCTAAGGAAGGTTCCACCTTCCATCACTACCATCCCCTCTCCTCTCTACTTTCTGCCTCCCTCTCAGTACGCAGACTTGAATGTAAATGTCCTTCCTTTTGGCAGTCAAATTTGCACAAGCTTCTGGCATCTTAAAAGTCCTCTGTCTCTCATCCTCTTCATTACAGCTAAATTTCTCAAGATTGCTGACCTTCCCTCATGGCCCGCCATTGTAATCTAGAATCTGCCCCGTTCTCAAACCCAGGTCTTGCTGAAGTCATCAGAGATTTCCTTGTGGCTAACACTGAGGGACACTCAGTGTCCCTTTCCTGTGTCTTCTGGGAAGCAGGGACTTGCTGGCTCTGCCTCTTGGACTCTTCCCTTAGCCCCTATGACGGGGTGCTCTCTTGTCTCCTCTACAACTGGCCTGGTCAGGACCCTCCTCTTGACCTTTGAGTGTTAAGAGCGCCCCCAGGCTTGATCCTGGGTCCTCTTCTGCATGTCCTCCCAAAGTGACCTCCTCATTGCCATGCTTCGGGTTCAATATCAGTTATCATACACTGATAACTCACACTTCCCTCTTCAGCCTTTGGGTTCCAACAACTTACTCAACACGGCTTGGCAGTTTCCGAGGCACATTCAAAACTCAACATGCCCTTAACAGAACTTACGATGTTTCCTCCTCAACATGTCTCCCGGTTCTCTTGCTCAGAGGGTGCCCCCGCCCCTGTCCTTCCACATCCATCTGGCTAGTCAGGCGTGGCTATGGCTCCGCTCTCCTTCACCTTTGTCCTGAATCTATTACCGAGTTTTGACAATATTTTTTCTCACACCCCTCTGGAGTCTGTCCACTCCCACCATCTTCTCTCACATGGATTAGTCCTCATTGCACTTCTTTCAGACCTTCTCCACCAGCAACCACGGGAATCATTTAAAAAATACGTATCTGACATATCACCCTCCTGCTCAGAACCTGTTGCTGACTCCCCGTGGCTGTGTGATAAAAGTCAAGTCCTTGCCACAGTCCGACTTCTCCAGCCCATCTCATACCTTTTGGAATTGCTGTGCACCTTCATTCATCTTCTTGGACACCCTGGAACAAGCTGCCCCCCTCCAGTCTCAGCGTCTCTACCTAGAATGCTACCACCTGCCCTCCCGTACCTCCTGTTTATCCTTCCAATCTCGGCTTACATGCTGCCTCCTGGAAGCTTTCCCTGATCTACTGACGAGATCTTATTCCCATGGCATATGTGTTTCTTTCATAGCACTTACTGGTTTGTAATTGTGTGATTGTCTTCCTGTGAACTCCACAGTCCACTTTGCTCACTACTGAACCCCAGTCCTAGCACACAACAGGTATTCAAATATTTTGTTGTTGGAATGATCTAGTTTTAGAAAAACGAGTCTGGTAGTATGCAGAGGACAGACTGGGAGAGGTAAGGAGGCTGCCACACTGGGCTGGGGATGGGGTGAGATGGTGGCTGGACTGTGATGCAGGCACAAAGAACACTGTAAGGTCAGAACTCCCTGGATTTCAGGCCCTGCTGGCTGGGGCAGGAAGGGTCAGAGAGAGCCCCATCTGGACAAGGGGACCCTCAGCTGCCTCAGTGAATGAAGTGAGTCTCCCCCTGACCTTTAGAGGTTCTGCACTGACCATTTGCCCCTGGGGAACCTGAGGGGGAGAAAATGCCATGGTTGGATATCATTCTCCATCTGTGCCCTCCTAGAGAAGCCCCCCAACCTTTACATCCTCAGGCACAGGGGTGGGCATGCAGTGGGGGTGGAGATGAGGCAGTGCTCTTACATCTCAGGTGAACCATGAGAACCACCACCACAGCTCAGAGCCTCCCTCCTCTCTCTTTTTAGGGTCAGCATCTTCTCTGAGGCATGATATCTATTTTGCTTCCTACCAGGGGGACCCCATCTCCAACTGGTCAGGCCTGCCTTCCTCCCTGCTCTGTCCTTGGCTCCTGCCCTCCTTGTATGGATGGCTTGAACAACACAGTAGGAGAGGCAGCCGAGACCCCAGGCATTACCCTGTGGATGGGGCCCCAGAGCCCAGATGGTCAAGCCTTGGCTGTAGCAGGACAGTGGGAGAGGGCAGGTGGTGAGACCTCCCCATGGCAGACACAGGACACTCGCTCGTGCAGCTGACACAAAGCGGCGGCCACCTCTCCCCACCGTGCTCCCCACCCGCTCCACTCACAGGGCAAGCACAGCCCCACTCACAGAAACAGGGGGATGGACAAGATGGCATGGGGATGGGGGGCGGGGGGACAGGCAGGCTCGGCGGAGTAAGCGCCGAGGCCGGGCAGCGGTGTCCTCATGGAGTGGTTTATTACGATTCCATCTCACAAGGCAGGCGGGCGGCAGCACACATGAGCTCCAAGCCCCTGACAGACGTCCGCCTCGGGCGCATGCAAACAGTGCAACATGATCAAGCGCAAACACAGGGCGACCGAGGCGACACGAAACATGGACTGGGGTACAAGGCTGGGGCAATGGGTCCCTGAAGAGGGGCCTGGTCTCCCCAACCCTTGTGGGCAGGACAGAAAAAATAAGATTCGTACTTCTTGTAAAATGCCCATTTCCTGGGTATTTTCTTTCTCCTTATTTTGAAAAATAATAAAAAATAAACACACAGAAGAAAAATCTCAAAAAAAGGAATAAAACTCTAGGAAGGTAGGAGATGGGAGGCCAGAAGAAGCCTGACCATGATGGGGGCATCTGCCCCTTGCTCCTCAGCCTCGTCCCTTCTTGGTCCCTCAGTGGGGCTCCCTAAGCCCCACAGGTGGGTCCATGAGAGAAGGTGCCAAGCTTAGGTGGGATCCCTATGGGGCCAGAAAGGGCGCAGGCTGGGACAGAGGAAAGAGGCCCACTGGCCCACTGGGCTCAGCTCAGGCTTGGGCCCAGCAAGGGGGCACGAGGTCCACAGTCTCTTCAGGTTCAGTCCCCACAGGCCCATGACCTGGGCGAGGCCGGCTGTCACAGGTGCAGCTCATGGGTTTTGATGTGCTCGAGCTGCTCGCGGAGCTGCAGGAAGGAGGGCCGCGTGGCAGCGTCCAGCTGCCAGCAGTTCTTCATGACCTCGTAGACTGCAAGCGGGCAGCCGTCAGGGGCATCCATCTTGTAGCCCTTCTCCACCCGAGGGACGACATCCTTCAGGGGCTGCGGGCAGTGGGGTGGTGAGTCTGTGAGGGCCTAACCCCTGGAGGGGACTCCTACTCAGTATTCCTCTTCAGGGATCCCCTTCAGCTCCACCTCAGACTCAGGCCCAGGAAGTGGCCTGGAAGGCCCTGAGGGTAAGTCTATGGCTTCTAGGCCTCAGACTGGGGAGGCAAGGCCCAGGGAGGCCCCATATCCTGCCAACCCCTCCCTCAGCCCCAGCCATGCCCCAGCCACAGCGCCCATACTCACAATTCTTGGATAAGGCACTCGCCCAAAGGAGTAGATTTCCCAGAGAAGAATTCCGAAACTCCACACATCAGACTTGGTGGAGAATTTCTGCCATTTGGGTGGGAAAAGCAGTGTTAGATACTGGGAATTTGAGGGTGGGGTGATCCAGGACCCCTGCTGGGAATTTGAGGGTGGGATGATCCAGGTCCACCACTGCTCATGCCGTGGGGGGAGGCCCACCCACCTTCTCTCTCAGAGCCTCGGGGGCTGTCCACTTGACTGGCAGCTTGCCTGTGTCCTGGGTGCTAGAGGCCTCCTTTGTGAGGCCAAAATCGCTGACCTTGGCCACATTGTCCTCAGATACCAGCACGTTACGAGCAGCCAGGTCACGGTGCACAAAATTGTTGCCTTCCAGGTATTCCATAGCCTCGCAGACGTCTCTAGGGGCGAGCCGGCCACATGTCCCCTCAGACGGGGCTCCCATAACAGGGTGGGGTCCCCTCCCCCAGGGGCTGCTTCACTCACAGTGAGAACTTGAGGAGACAGTCTCCGCCTAGCACCGACCGACCCCGTGACCGTAGATAGTCCACCAGGCTCCCCTGGGGCAGAAGAGACAGACCCACCAGCCCATAGTCAGACTTGCCCTCCAGCCCTCAGGAACAGTGCACCTGAGGCTGGGTAAAAGGTGACACCCCAGGGACATGTGAGGAAAGGGGAGGAGCATGGCCTCAAGGAGTCAGCATGAATATTGGATTCTACATGCTGGACACTGTACTTAGCTATTTTCATGCATCATCTCTTAATTCTCATCAGTCTCGGAAGTAAACTTTGTTAGTATCTCCATTTCATAAATGAGGAAATTGACAGAGCGGTGATACAACTTGTCCAAGGACATAGTGAATAAATGATGAGCCTGGACAAAAGCTGAGCCCTGGAGACTTCAAAGCTCAGTTGGACGGAAGGGACTGAAAGCAGGGCCCAAGGGCACTGAGGGGGGCTTGAGGCAGTTGGAAAGCCCCAGTGTTCAATTCCAGCACAAGGGATGGATCACTGGGCAGGCGCGCACCTTGGCCATGTACTCGGTGACGATGTAGAGCCCACCCTTCTCCTCCACGATCACGCCAAGAAGCTGTACCAGGTTGCTATGCCGAAGTTGCCTGGGGCAGGAGAGGTGGTCAGACCCTGCCAAGCCTCCTCATCCCCTGCCTGTGCCAGGCAAACTCCCTACCCACTCCCTGCCCAACTTACGTCATGACTGAGGCTTCAGCCAGGAAGGCCTGGGCAGTGGCATCATTCTTAATGCACTTGACAGCGACTTTGTTCCCTCGGTAATCGCCTAGCATCACATCTGCAGGGAGAGAGTTGGGGGTTGTTCCTGGACTCTCCACAGTCCCTTGGCCCCTCACAGGGCTCCCAGCCCCACCCGCTCACCTCCAAACTCCCCCTTCCCAATGGTCTGCAGCAGCTTCAGGTCCTTCATATTCAGCGCCCAGCCGCCTGGTGGAGGGGGAGGGGGTCCAGTGAGGGGTGTTTTGCTGGAGCAGAGTTCACAGTAGGAGCGACAGAGGCTGACTGAGCTATAATATGCGGGGTTCCCTGGAGATTTCCAGAGCCTCCGGGATGGGGCAATGCCAAGAAGCCTGGGTAGCAGGAGGTGGGTAGGCAAGTGAGGAATGGGGGTGAGGGTGGTACTCACTGCGAAAGAACTCATCCTGGGCTGCCACTGTGCCCTCCATGACCTTTGGCTTGATGAGCCGAGTGCAGAGTCCGTCTGCGTCTGAGGTGTAGTGCTGCAGGGGACAGGGACGGTGCTCACCAGAAGCTCACATGCACTACCCAGGTCTGACCACCAGAGGGTGGCAGAGGCTCGTCCCACTCAACCCCAGAGTTCTTTGGGTGGGAAGGGCTCCCTATTTCTGGCAGGTCTGGGGTTAGGGAGGCCCCAGACTCTGGCATATGGCCCACTGCCTATCCCGCCCCACAACCAGGTGCTGGACAGATCCCCCATTGTTGCTACCACTCTGGGCCTTACAAGCATTCCCAGGCAGAGGGCAAGCCCTGACTCAGTCCAGACACCAGCCTGTAGTCAGGTATGCCTAGGTCCCTCCCCTGCCAGAGGCCAAGCCAGGACTGCAGGGGGAGGGAGCTGAGATTGAGTGCAGAAGGCATCTGGGAGGCTGCCTGGGACTACTGGATGCCAGGAATGGCCTGGCCGGGGATGGCAGAGCTGGCCTCAGGAACTGTAAGGATATGTGGGCACATCGATGCAGGTACAGAAGCTCAGGGAACCCTGGCCATCAAGGTGTAGCTCATCTTTTGCTTTTGTATACAACACTTGGGCATGTAGTTCCATGAGTGGCTGGAAGGAAGCTTGTTCTGGGATCAGACAGACTCAGATTCAAGTCCTGAATCTATAGCTGTATGACCTCAAACAGGTCCCTTATTTGCTCTGAACTTTCGTTTCCTGGCCTGTGAAATGGGGATACTGCCACCCTCCCTGTGGTGGTACTGGGGGGTTAGAAATGCACCCTGGCACGTAGCAGATGCTCCATCGAGGCATGAGAAAATGCGGGCTCACAAAGGCTGCATGACACTCCCAAGGTCACCCAGAGAGAAGTGTGGGACTGGAGCTGGCATCCAGGCCCGTAGGTGCTGCGGCTCACCTCTACCAGCTGCATGAGGTTCTCAAAATACACCTCCTCGTCGATGCTGAGCTTGCTGGCATGGTACATGATGCGGTAGTGCTCCACCTTGCCATCGCAGCTCACACACAGCGTGTAGTCACCGGGGTAGTTGGTGCTCTCTCGCACCAGGAACAGGCCTGTCTCTGGAGGGCACAGAAGTCGCTCTGCCTGCTCCCGTGTGATCTTGCCATGGAACCAGCTGAGGGACAGCCAGGCCAGGGGTCATGGTGGCCCAAGGGTATGAAGCCTGGTGCCTCTGCCAGCTTCTCCCTGCATCTTCCAGGCTCTACTTTCTGAAGGCCCTCCCTTTGTTCCGACCATTCCCTCTGCAGTCCCAGCCCCATTTACCTCCTTTGAGGTACAGCGTCAACATATTTCTTCTCATTTTGAGAAGCCCTCAGGACACTCCAGCTCTTTCCTCTGACCTCCCTGTTTCCCTGACTCTCATCTGGGGGAACCAGGGCTCCTCATCTTCCCTCCTTCCCAGACTGAGAGAGGGCCCCCCTCATCAGTCAGTACTCACGGCATGAGGCTGAGTTTGGTGCCAGCTTTCACGCCCTCCCGCTTCTGGACGTAGTTGGCTGGGATGATGCCCTCACGGCCCACCTTGTTCTTGGCTTTGTACCAGTTGGGGTCCTGGGGAAAGGGCAGCCAAGACATGCTCTCAGACCCACCCTTCCCTGCGGAGGAACCAGGACCCCAGATGTGGGAGGTGGTGGGGGCAGGCATGTGAGATCCCCAATTACCTTGGTGACGGCCACAATGGTGAGCACGTCTCCCTTGCAGAAGGGAAGGTCCTGCTCAGCAGTGCCATGAAAGTTGTACTTGGCAATACATTCTGTACCAGATGGCCAGGCGGCCTGCAGGACAGGCGACAAGTGGGTGGGTGCAGGTCGGGTCCCCTCTCTACCCACCTCCCCACATACCCTTGAGGTCACAGCTCTTGGCTGGCCCCTTTGAGCCTGGGTGAGGCACCCCTTCCCACGAGATTTCCCCACCGCCCCAGACCTGTGCTCTCATTTTGAGGGCCCTGTGTCTGACAGCACACCCTGGAATTTCACTTTGTTAGAAGCCAGGGCTGAGGAAAAGAGGAGCAAACTGATCTGAGCCTTCATTCTCTCTCTTCTGCTCAGCAGCCCCATGGGGTGATGGGGATGTTCAACTGTCCTAGACCCTGCTCCTGTGGCACCTGTATTGCTGACATCGTCTCAGAAGATTCGGCGTCCCCGTGTCACAGGAAAGCTGATCTGTCACTTGGTACCATGAGAGCTGTGCAAAGAAAAGGAAGAGCGAGGAAGGGTATGAAGAGATTGCTCCTCTCACAAGTCACTGAGATTACACTCCTCCCCACAGCAATACGAACAGTGGCCAGGGTTGGGAATGGGGACGAGGGCAGTCCTCTCCAGTCTTGGCAGGCTAAAGGCACTGAAGTAGGAAGGAGGCTGAAGCTTGATGACTGGCGACCACCAGCAACGGAGGGGACACCAACCCTAAGTCAACAGGGGACCTTACTACCCAAAAGAATGGTCAACAGAGGCAAAGGAGGTTTGGGGGCTGAGTAGCACCAGTGCCAGCTGCCCTACCAACCCAAAGCCCAATGCCAGCTAACTGGTCTGTGGGGGCAGGGGGCCCAGGGTAGTTCTGTGATCCTGGAAAAGGTGCTATGTGACTTGGGAAAGTCACCTGTCCTCTATAAGCCTCTTAGTTCCTTCATCTATAAAAATGTGCCCAGGTAGTATCTCTAAAGCCGAGGTACACTGATCCCACGGTTTGGCTGTCCCACCTCTGGGTGCACACCCAAGAGAAAAGAGGGCAGTGCCCAAAGAGGCAGGCACAAGAGCACTCACTACAGCACGATTTATAATAAACTTGAAACTGAAAACTGCCCAGATGCCCACCAAGAGTCAGGCAGACAACTTGTGGTTATGTCCACAGAATGGAACACTACTGTGGCGAACATCAATAAACTACAGCTGTGAAACTGCACTGATGAACTTCTAAACATAAGGTTAAACAAGAAGCCAGTCACAGATGAGCACATGCCATGTAATTCCGTTTGTATAAAGTTCAAAATCAGGCCTAACCCGTGGTGCAGGCTGGCGACTGCCCTTGGGAGAGAGTGGTGACAGAAGGGGCATGAGAGAGGCCTTTGGGTGCTGGTTATGTGATTATCTGAGCCCTGTCAGGGGGTGGGTTCACTCTGCGGCAATTCACTGAGCTGTACCCTTATGACTGGCGCGACTCTTCAAAAGAGCTACCCTAGCCAACCCCACACACCCCAAGAGCAGCAAGACAACGCATCGAGCACACATATACTTGTACCTGTCTCAGGAAGCAGAGGGGCTGGGGCTTTGACAGGGTTAGTGACTTCTCAAACGTGACCACCTACCCCAGGCCGCCAGTGATAGAATTCGTTTGAGTACAAGTGTCTAGGGATGTGAGGTCAGCAAGGACTGCAGAGCTTACTAGGTGGGCTTCCTAGAGGAGGGAATGTTGGAGCTGAGCTCTGAGACTGGAGGGCTTAGAAAGAAAGGCAGAGCGGGTTGGAGAGAGCACTTCAGATTGGTGTGACAGCCTGAGCAAAGGTGCTGGGGTAGAGACAGACATAGCCGTGAGAAGCTGGCCTAGCTGGAAGCTCATGGTGAGGAAGGGTGAAAGACAGATCCTGACCATCTGAGCACCATCAGTCTGCTGTAGAAACTGTCTAGACTGAGCTTGGCATAAGTCTTGCAGGGCACAGGGGCTTCAAATACTAATGTGAGGAACCAGTGTTTGTTTCTGAGGGCCATGGAGCCTGGGGGGCTCAGCAACAGAGCATGTGGTCTTGCAGACTAAAGGGAGCCACAGAGAATAGAGCTGGGAGAACCACCAGCTTCTAGGCCTCACTCCTGGTTCTAGAGTCAGGCAGATCTGGCTCTGTCAAGTGTGCAACTCAGGCAAATGACTCAACCCTTCTGAGCATTCAGATCCCTCATCCTGAGAGGTAGGGACAGGGATGCCCTGCAAGCAGGCTATAGAGGGAATGGAATGAGGCCATGGACTTGGAAGTGTCTGGTGTAGGACCTGGCATAAACTGCACCAGCCCCCAACCCCAGTCCTCGGCCTTTCTTCCGTTCCCCAAAGGCTAGCCGGTCAGCCTCTGCCATCTGACAGAAAGACTGAGGCCCAAGGAGGATGAGCCTTGTCTCCACCCACACACAGACATTCACACAATTGAGCCACCTCGAATCCAGGAACCATCCCCTGGGCTCCCGTGGTCCGCATACTATGGGAGCCATGAGCGCCTTACCCCATTTTATGGAAGCAGAAACTTAGGTTCCCAAGGTTGTACGACTTATCTGAGGTAACACAGCTAGGTAGGGGTGATGAGTGGCCCAGATCTTGAATTGGGGCCCTCAACTTTCATACTCTTCTGAATAGGGGCTCTGCTAGCTCTCTGTTTCCCCACCTGCCTCCCGACCCCCTAAAAACTCGAAGCCACTGCAGGAGGGCATGGAGGCTGTGGCACCATTAGTCACCCTCTCAGCTGTCAGTTTGCAAACACCCCTTTCCCAGCCTGCAGCTGCTGCCACTGACTCCCCAGTGACTTGATAATAAAAATAATACAGGCCCTGTTTTCTGAGCACTTATTCTGTGCCAGGTCCCATCTGCAGAATGTTATGACTTGTCAAATCCAGAGAGAGAAGCTATTATTACCCCCATTTTACAGATGGGGACCCCGAGCAAAGCCAAGAGGCAAGGTGGCCTTGCTGAAGTCACAAGTTGAGTGAGCATCTTGCCCCATTGACATGTGAGCCCTCGGGCTAGTCCTCTCCCACCCCTGTGCCTCCCTGCCTCCTCTGTCCACATCATGCCATAACCACATTGGCCCAAGAGAGAAAGCGTGCAAGGGAGAAGCAAGCAGTGCTCAGAAGAAGGGGGCAAGCCCAGGAGGCAGTGGCCAGGGTGGGCTTCTTCGAGGGACTGTGCTTGGGTGACAGAAGATCTAGAAAGGAGATGGTAGAGCTATCCTCTCCCCTCTGCTCTACTGGCTGAAATCTGAGGACCTGGTATCCCTATCTGTACAACGGGTTGGTGGTAACCCCGCAGCTACAGGGCTGTTCTGAGGACTGGAGTTGCTGCCTCTCAGGACCAGGAACAAGGCCTGCCTGGACATAGAAACTCTGCCCGCAGGAGTTTTGGACTCTTGACAGCTCCTCCCTGGCACAGCCCAGGATGGCTCAGCAGCCTTGAAGGCTAGGGCCCCTCTTTAAGGCCCCGAGGGTCCAGCTGGGCTGTCCCCCTCCAGGTCATGGCCTAAAAGCCAGAGTGGCTAGGAGGGACTGGTACAAACCTAAGCCTCCAGGCTGGCCTGGGTAAGGCATGGGGGCCTTTTCTGGGTTATGTGAATCTTGGTTTCAGGCCACTTTGTGGAGGCTGTGCAGAAACGCTGTCCTGGGACTCAAGGGCTCTGAGTCCTATTCTTTGCTCAGCCACCAACTGGTTGTGTGACCTTGGGAAAGCCACTTGACTTTTCTGAGACTTGCCGGATCTCCAGCATCTCAGTGACACTTGTTTCCCACCTGCTGTTCACACCTCCTGCCTTGGCATTTCCCTCTCACTCTTTCTCCCTGCTCTACCCAAGGAAACTCCACTCTACCTTCAGGTCACAGCAGAAGAAATGCTTCTGTTGCACATGTGCCAAAAAAATGTAGCAGGACAGTCCCTGCAGTACTATCTATAGTAGCAAGAGATCGAAAGACAATCTTTATGTCCGTTAATAAGGGACCAAATAAATAAATGACCAGATATCCCTCAAAGAGAACAATATACTCCAGATGTGATGGGGCCAGAACACATCTTCAGCTGCTGATACACAACACTCCTCATGACAGAGTATGTAGAAATGGCAAAAGCCAGACCAAGTCATTGGAAGGAAAAGCTGCTGGACACAGCTTCCAAGTACTACCACACAGAGTAATCAGAAAAAGGAAAAAGAACCCTCACAATAGGGAGATCTGGCAGACACCTCATTAACCAAGTGGTCAAATTAAGCATCACCAATAATGAGAGAAGTGACACTGAGTGCCTCCTGCTACGATGTACTGAGGAGGACACAGCTTCCAGTGTGGTATTCCGCAGAGCTGTTTAACCTGACTCCCATCAGAAAGACGAAATCGGAGAGCCCAAACATTTGGCCTGAACTCTTAAAGTCAATGTCATGAAAGACAAAACAGAGACCGGGGAATATTCTACATTAATTAAGACACTGAAGGAACATGACACAACAACAAAATGATAACTACATCAGGTGAAAGATATGTTATCTAACCTTATTACGGGAATTGTTTTGCAATATACGTGTATCAAATCATTACACTGTATACCTTAAATTTACACAATGTTATACATCAATTATATCTCAATAAAGCTGGGAAAAAAGAAACATGATGATAAGATTTAACTAGTGATTCTGAATCAGATTCTGCATCAGAAGGGGGAAAAAAAGCTATAAAAAATCATTTGGAGACAACTGAGAAAATGGAAATGTTAGATAATATTGTGTGACCATGATACTATGGTTATGTAAGCGATCCATGCTAAAATACTTGGGAGTGAAAGGTATGATGCCTGCAACTAACACTCACATAAATCAGCAAAAAAATACATATACACACATGTCCAATGTGTACAAAAGAAGAGGTAAAGCATATGTGGCAAAATGTTAAGAACTGGTGAATCTGGGTAAAGGATGTATGGATATTCATTATACTATAATTTCAGCTTTTTGGTAGGTTTGAAATACGCAAAAGGCTGTAAAAGAGAGCACGGTGCATCCATGGTATATAACAAATTGTGTTTTTCAAGGTGACATGCAATTCATCCCTAAACTCAGATATAAATAGCTTATCTTTGAAAGACAGAGGAAACTGACAACAGAGATTGCCTCTGGGATGGGGAGAGTAGTATCAAGTTTAAGGAAAACTGACTTTTCGCTGTATATTTGCTACTGTCCTTTTTGATATATTTTTTAAACCATATTTATTACCTTTCTCCAAAAAGAAAGACTGAAAACATGTAACTTTTTGAAAGCCACCTCTGCCAGGAGCTTTCCTTGGTCCCCCAGCTGTGTTAGCTGCTCTGGGCCTCTACAGCTTCTCACACATTCCCATGCTCCAGCAAGAACCTCACTGGTCCTGGCTTGGGAGCTCTGCCAGGTAAGAGCTGGGGGTTGACTCATGGCCCCAGCAAGGGCTGGGCCCAGAGTGGCTGTTCAGTAAATGAGAGCT